ACCATGGATAGCTCCCTTTCTAGAACTTCCATTCGCAAAATTAGGGCTGCAATCACTCCTGATTCTTTATCTACCTTCTGAGCAGCTTGTTCCCCTTTCGTCTTCAACTTAGTTTCCCCCGACTCTGTCGGCTTAACAATAATGCTTTGTTTACCCTTGTTCTTTTTCAACGTATTTTTACCATTTGTCTGCATCTTAGGGTTTAATCCCTCAGCAGCAACCATACCCTGTACCAGGCGTGAGCACTCGAGCGCGAATGTCTCGCACCGGTCACATACCCACTTCAGATTCTTGTTCTGAAGGTGTATGAGGTACTCTCTCTTTGCTAAGAGTGAGCACTTTTGATGGTACCACTTTTTGCACCGATTGCACTGAATGCCATCAGCTACATACAAATTGCAGCCCGTGTCACCACAATGCTTTTCGCTCTGTGCGATACTCATTGAAAAACGTGCGAAAATTTCAAAAATACGGTCACGAAAAACGCATAAACGGATAAAAGGGTAGAACTGGCTACAAAGCTTTGGGAACACCACTATAAAAAACTAAAACGGCTCAGATATATCTTTTATGAACCGCTAAAGGGTTCGACAATTTGTATAGTAGCACTAAACTATTTAGTGCTAAAAGTGTGAAATATCTATAGATATTTCACTAGTTTTCAACCACAAATTTTTAATACCAGGAGCAATTCGAAAATTCAAACCACGCGCGAACGTACCGCAAGGTTCAGTTCAGTTCAGTACGGTTGCACAGGACGAATATGGCTCTTGCCAATCGAGCGTCCAGTTCGTTGTGTTGTCGGCGAATGGGAGTAGCTTCCAACTCTGCGTACAGTTGATTGGGTATTTGTGATCCTCACACTTCAACCCCGTGTCCAGAACATGTCGCCTTGGGGTTAGCTGAAAGGGAGGAAAACAAGCAAGGATATCTTTTCGCCTCATTGGTTAGAGACCTCAAGTACACTTGTGCTAGTATACAGCTTACGTGTGACAAGATAATCAGGATTTTTAGAATAATTTCAATACTCAAACCCACGTTTATATCATTTCACAACTTCTGGCTAAAGTAGAATTTACTTTTAATGTTCCCAGTCTAAGTACTAACTTCGGGGAACGTTTCTGATAAACATGCGTCCAGTGCCACCTTGAAGGTGCAGTTCACGGGACAGGACATGTCAAGACAGGACAAATCAAAGGACTTGCCGCGAAGCCAGAAGCAGTCCAGTTTCTCACACCAATGAGCTTGGGAGTACCACGGCGCTGCGACAATTGTATTATTTCGTTCACTTAGACGTGGATGAGTGCGGTTCTGGAAAAGGAAAACGCACTTCTGATGGCTCCTCTGAGTGACAGTACACGTCTGAGGTTCTACCAGGATCGAAGCAACAGCTCGCAACCAACCGCTCCGAGCTACCCAGAGTATAAGATGTGTTGTGAGAAGAAACATGACCTAAAAGTGGTGGTGCTGTATGTTGAGAACTTTCAGTAAAATGTGGTACACAGTGAAGGAAAATTGGAGCTGAAGGAATTGGAGAAAACAAAGTGGAGTAAGAGATACAGTTAAAGTGGGGAACCCGGAGACGGACGAGCTTTTAGCGACCTTAGGCCCGGTTTCAGATACAATCGGGGAACGCTGATGTCCAGGAAGCATCAAGCTCAAGCTTGAATTCGACAATGGCTTTTGACGCCACTGCCTCCTGCGGCAGTTTGTTCCATGTAATAATTACCCGGTGCGAGAAAAAGGTGGCTCTCAGGCGTTTGAGCGCCCGAGGCTTGTCGAACTTCCTGTTGTGTCCCCTTCTGTTGAGCACACCGCTTGGCTGAAGTAGTTAGGAGATTTGCCATGGACAGATTGAACAGGCGAGCTAACGGGGCAGCCAAGATACGCCCTAGAGGCCCAAGCAGTGTCGGGTGGATTTCGTTCGGTTCCGCCGCTTTTCCCCAATCTAAACTCACCAGGGTCTTTTCCACATCCTCCGGTTGCAAAATGATTTCCTCCATTAGCGAGGATCCTGCCGACTGGTGCATGGGTTCCAGGATGCCGTCATCCTTTGTGTGTACGCTCTGGAAGTGCACATAGAAGGCGATGGCCTTCTGGGAGTTTGTCGTGGCGGGGGTATTGTCCTTTTGCCTGCAACAGCCGACTGCTTCCCTTGTAGTTGACTTAAACTGTACATACCCGTAGAAGGCCTAAGGGTAGCGCTTTACTTTCTCCGCCAGGGAAAGCTCGAAAGCTCCTTTGGCATCCAGGAGGACGCGGTCGAAAGATTTTCGTTCTCGTAGGTACTGAAGGTGTCTAAGATAGCCGCCTGTGGCATAGAGTCGTTGCCACGCGGTCCGCTTTCTAACAAGGGCTTTTTTCATACGACTGGACCACCAGGGTGGGATGGTCCACGACCTAACGTGATTCAGGGGTGCGAAACTATCGGTGAGAGTCAGCAGGCTATCCTTGATCAAATCCCACGACTCCACAGTCCCATAGTGTGCTTCTGACCAGACCGTGGTTCGAGCCGCAGCCTGTAGACATTTGGTATTCATGCGCCCACAGTGTCGCCTCAATTTGACTTGAGAACGCGAAAGAGCACAGCCGTACTGGCACCGGATACTAGCGTGGTCACTTCTGCCTAGCAGTGCACCTATGGAAGTGATCCTGATATCATTCCTGCTTTTGGTAACGTGACGTGCTGGGTGAGCGCCAATTCATGCATCACCTCTAGTAGCTCATCCCCAAAGCTG